ACACACACACACACACACACACACACACACACACACACACACACACATACACACACACCTGCATACACAAGTCAACATACATGATCATGTACACAAAACAACACACACATATACACCTGAATACACAAGTCAATACACATAATCATGCACACACACACACACACACACACACACTTGAAGAACCTCCCCTTCCTTCCCTTCAGGAGGACCTCCCCTATCATTGGACTGGGGAAGGGATATAGAAGAAGAAGAAGGAGGAGGGAGGGTGGGATTGGGAGAGGATGGGGGAGGGGCTACAGCTGGGATACAAAGTGAATAAACTGTAACTAATTTTAAAAAAATGGAAAAAAGAAAAAGAAAAAAAACATATCTACCCAAGGCATAAAAAGTTAAAAAAAAGAAAAAAAGAAAAAAGAAAGTCCCCTTCTGCTTCTGCTGTGTGAAGACATAACAAGACACCTCCTGAGAGTCAAGAGGCTGGTCCTTTCCAGACGCTGAAGGCATTGGTGCCTTGATCTTAGACTTCCCCGCTTCTAGAACCATAAAACTTGTATTTGCCTAGCTTGTAATTACACAGGCAAAGGTGTAGCCTGAACAGATGAGAAATAGATGTTGGGCAGAGGATTCCAGGGTTATAACAGGAGTTTCAGTATGAAAAACAGCAACAACAAAACTTGGCAAGGACACAGTTTTATACACTGAAAGAACCATTGTACTTTATTTAAAATATATACAAAATTATTACTTTGAAACATATATTACTATCCAACATATATCATAGAACACATATTGATGTAAATTTGGTACTTTCACTCAGTTTTGTGATTTCTCTTTGTTCAAGGTTCCTGAAAAAGTTCTTTAAAATACCACTGGAGGAGAAGTGTCCATAGGCTTGCTCCTCACAGTCGTCTGGCAATTCTCTTGGGCACCTTTGGACCCTGTGAACCCGACCCATGTAAGCTGAGCTACCCCTAGCCTTGCTGGGCACAGGGAGAGGCAAAGGACTGGTGGCACCCGCCTTAATACAGCACAGCCAGTTCCACGTCCTCTCTCTTTCCCTCTTGGCTGATGGAAACGAGTCAGCCGTCTTCTCCACAGACCCTCTCCTGGGCTGAACTTAACATAAACTGCATTCTGTTCACATGCTACCCTCCTTCCTTGCCTCCATCACCACTACCACAGAGAGAGGCTGGGAGCTGGGAGCTGGCCTCTGAGAGAAGTAAGGAATGAAGCGAAGTGGAGCTTCTGTGCTCTTGGGCTGAGTTCTCGCACTCCTGGGATAAATCAACTAGTTTTGGGTGCAGCCCAGCCTTTTCTTTTCTTTTTCTTTCTTTTTTGGCACCATCACTTGCGCACCATGCTTTATCCAACAGGCATTTAACAAACGCCCATCTTATGGGTGGACAAATGAATGCATGGGACCTGGCTATTCCAGGCAGAAAACATCCAGTTGAGAATCAAGGGGACTTATCATCTCTTGGCCTTTAGCTAAGATCAAGTGTAGAATCAAGGGGACTGAAGTCATGTAGACCTGTTTCCTCCTTTAACAAATGGGTAAACTGAGGCTGACAGAAGATGAAACAAAAAGGATTACTGACTGGTCCCTGATAGAGTCAGACCTGATATCAGAGTTTCTTAGTTTTTTTTTCCTCTCTTCAGATCTGACTTTGTAAAGAGAGCTCAATGGACCCACTGCTGTGTCCCAGACCTGCAGAACCCACCTTCCTACACCAGAGGGTCTTTGTCATAACGGGTGACCATGAGATAGCGGCCAAGCACAGAATGCCACCAAAATGTCTCCTCTGTGTAACTTCACTCCCAGGTTCAGGTTCTGGGCAAGAGGGTTTGCCAGCAGCAGTGGGCATGAGTGAGGTAGGAGGAACAGATGGGTGGATGTAAGCCCGGCTTTGGGGAAGGGTGTCTGTTCTGTCCCTCGAGCGATTCTGGTGCTACTGTGGATTTGGTGCCTCCAGGCTCTGTTGTCCAGAGGAGATGTGTAAACAAAGCCAAGCAGCTGGCTGTTCTGCCTCTGAGAGCAAGTCGCTACAGATACTTGCCAGTGGACAAGTGGCAGTAGGTATGTTCTTAGCACGCTGGAGAAGAGCCAAAGAGGAGACAGGAACAGAGTTCAGGGACTGTCAGGCTATCCAGAGGTGTGAGTGGTGGGAACAGGCCTGAGTGTCCAGGTGGACTTCTCTTTTCAGCTAAGCCGTCACAAAGCACGCTTTGAGCTCTGGGCCACTGACCCAGCACCACCTGCCACACCGGGGACCTCCACAGCTTCCCAGTCCGAAATCTTTCTAAAAGGATAATTTGGCATGATCAGAAACACACAGTTGAACATCATAAAGATGTGTGTGCCATACCCAGCCTTGCGGATACAGCTCTGAAGAGTGCTGGCATCAGAATGAACAAGGGCACCACAGTCTACCACCAGGGGCTTCTCCTGAGCATGTGCGGTGGGGGCTGGGACGAACGTGATATGCTCTTTTGGCAGCTCCTCCTCTTGCCCCACTCTCAGGCAGCTTCACTTTTGGCTTCCCCTCATCCCTTCTCACTCCTGGCCGACTTCTGAAAGCCCCAATTCCCATTAGGGCTATAGACGGTTTTTCTGAGACAAATAATAATTCATCTTATGGAAATCAGAAAATTGAAAGCCACAGATCACCTGGTAACAAAAAAAGTACCTTTGTGCTTGTGTAGTCACCAAAAAAAAAAAAAAAAAAAAAACACAGACAGCTAAAGGCTAGGGCTCCGAGCCTGGGCCGGGACCATTCCGAGTGGTCCACTGGCCCGACCTGCTCCCTAGACAGCGGATTGGTTTTCGTTGCACACATAGACGGTGCTCGGCTGCACTCTCCTCTGGATCCGCTCAGGCACTTTGGGGAGGATTTGGAAAGTCTGGGGAAGCAACTCTACGCAGGCCTCGCGGAATTTCTTAATCCTCCAGCAGTAGACGATGGGGTTGAAGACGGACTTGAGGTAACTGAGCCACAGCACACACGTGCTGGTGGCGTAAAAGGAGGTGCTGTAATAGAACCGTCGGCTGAACGCAGACAGCAGGCTGTAGACCGAGTGGGGCAGCCAGCAGAGCGAAAAGCCCACGAAAAGGATGAGGATGGTGGTGAAGGCCTTGGTTTTGAAGCTCAGGTCCAGGCTGACCTGCTGCTGCTGCCTCCGGAGCCGTCTCAGGCCAGCCCTGGACAGCTGCCTGAGGTCCAGGCTGTCGGACTGGTTGTGCACGCGCACAGCGTTCTTCCGCACCGTGTTGAGGATGCACAGATAGGAGCACAGCATGACGCCGAAGGGCGCAAAGAACACTGCCACCACCAGGGTCACCACATAGGCGCGTTCAGCTGGGAACTCCGTGTAGCCCAGCACGCACTGTGGGGCCCGGGCTGGCACCTCCATGAACGTCCAGCCGGTGAAGGAGGGCGCAGAGATGCAGAATGACAGCACCCAGGAGGCCACAATGATTACCTTGGCCCTGCGAGGGTTCAGCTTATCCTGGCGCTGCACGATGATGAGAAACCGGTCCACACTAATGATGAGCAGGATGGCCACGCCCTCTAGGACAAAGAACCAATAGAGCGTAGCTGAGAGCCTACAAAAGTGGTCCCCGAAGTGCCAGCGGACAGTGATGAGGGTGATGGCGGTGAAGGGCATGCAGCATAAGGAGAGCATGATGTCGGAGAAGGCCAAGGTGGCCAGCAGCAGGTTGATGGCTGAGCGCATGGCCGGCCTCTGGTACACGATGATGCAGACCACCGTGTTGCCGAGAAATCCTACCACAATCATCAGCAGCATCATTATTGCCAGAGAGATCCTGAGCGGTGCAGACAGTGGGGTGGCCCCTGGGTCCGAGGCATTGCTCACATTCAGCAGCAGATGCTCGTAAGCCCCGACGGATGTGCTGTTACAGGCCATCGTGAAGGGAAACTTGGAACCTGGAGAGAAGCGGCTGCAAGGGCGCCCTCCAGTGCTTGGGTGGCTTTCATTTTTCGTCTGGTGGCTGCATCTTTTTATTGTTGCAGTATCTCTAGGTCCCTTGAATCGTTAGGAGAAATCTTTCTTTGGAGATGCTAGTTGGGTTTTGTGATTCATCAGTCACATCCTTGTCCTGTTGCTGTGGCAGCCATGTGATTGCACAGCGCCCTAGTAGGATGCTATAGCCTAGAGCAAGCAGAAAGAAAGAGTCAGATATTGGAAGCCTGGTAGAACAGAGCAGGGTCTAAAATTTGCAAGAACTAGTGGTCTAACTTGTGTGAGGGTTTCACGTCTACGTATCCAGCCAACCAACCCAGGAAATACTGAGAAAATTCCAGCAGAATTTAACCTGAACATATACAGATTCTTCTTTGTGACTGTTTTCTAAATGATACAACTACTTGCATACCGTTTTCATCACAGTGTGTTATCCATAACCTGGAGATGGGTTAAATATGCAAACCCCGAACCATCTTCTGTAAAGAGACTTGAGAATCCAGAGATGTTAGTCTGTAAGGGAGCATTGGAACTGGTCCTTTGTGAATTCGCAGGGACAGGAGAACAGAGAGAAAAATGACTCATTTATTTTACTTAGAACAAAGGCTGGTATTTACAAATGTTGAGTCTTGTCAAGCAGCCCAGGAAACATAAGCAGCTAGCTCTCCTCTGGGCACCTGGAAGTGCTGCCTTGTAGTTTGCAGCAGGTCCAGATACTGAGAGATGACAAAGTAGTATGTGGACAAGGCCATAAGATGTGCTGGAGGCTCTCTTGTCCCCTCCAGACTCCTTGCCCTCTCCATCTAGACCCTACCTGGAAGGATGGGTCCTACTCCATGAAGACGTGTGACGAATGAGGTATGCTCTGTCTGCTTCCTTCTTCCTGGTTGTGGTTGTAATCCTGCAAAGCCCAAGATGCTGGCGACAGCTGTGCCCTAATAGCCTGGCCCTCTTCTCAGGTCTCCATGTGTTTGCTGTCTCACTGCCGTCCTCCTTCAGGTCCCTTATCCTAGCTCCTTCAACAAGAAACTCCCCACCAAGTTTCTTCATTCATTCTATATTGATGTCTATGTGTCTATTTTCAGCACCATGCCAAGGGTCACCCTGACAGAAGTTACAAAGAAGCAGAAAGTTAAGAGTGAGCAGATAGTATGGGCAGAAAGTGTGTGTGTGTGTGTGTGTGTGTGTGTGTGTGTGTGTGTGCTCGCATGTGTGCATGCATGTGTTCAAATCCAGTCACATTTCCATATGTACCTTTTTAGGGTTCACTCCTTTACCTGTTTTTAATGGGTGCTTTAGCATTTTTTTTATCTGATCTCTTTCTTCCATCTTTGCCATATTGCCTCAGATAGCGGCTTGTAGCACTTTCCGGCTTGAGTTTAGCTGATGTTAGGTGGAACTTGTTCTATCACTTCACTGTGATGGTTTGAATGAAAATGGCCCCCATAGGCTCATAGGGAGTGACACTGTTTGGAGGTGTGGTCTTGTTGGAGTGGGTGTGGGTTTGTTATAGGAAGTGTGTCACTAGGGGTGGGCTTTGGGGTTTCAGAAACTCCAGCCAGGCCCAGTGTCTCTCTCTCTCTATTCCTGCTGCCTGTGGATCTTGTTGTAGAACTTGTTAGCTCCTTCTCCAGCATCATGTCTGCCACCATGACAGTAATGTACTAACTACAGAGACTGCAAACCAGCTCCAATTAAATGTTTTTTTCCATAAGAGTTGCCATGGCCATGGTGTCTCTCACAGCGATAAAACACTACTAACCTCCTCCTAATGACTGCTGAGTGCTGAAGTCACCTGCGTACCACCATAACTATAAGAAGTTACTCCTCTGAGAGTTGACTATCCATCTTGTCTCTACCGTGTAAGATGCACAGTTAAGTACCTCTTGCTTTTATCCACTCTCCCTCACTCTTTTACATCTATTTGACCATCAGCTCTCTTTTTATTTGTGCCTTGTTACTTTGCCACCTTTAACTCAATTATCTGTGATTTTTTTTTATAAGTAGTCTTTAAGAATTTAACTCCCACTTATGGCCAACTGTTGGGCAGAGTGGATGGAATCTTATGAAAGAAGTGGGAAATAGTAAGAGCTGGAGAGGACAGGAGCTCCACAAGGAGAGCAACAGAACCAAAAAATTTGAACACTGGGGTCTTTCCAGAGACTCATACTCCAACCAAGTACCATGCATGGAGATAACCTAGAACCCCTGCACAGACGTAGCCCATGACAGTTCAGTGTCCAAGTGGGTTCCATAGTAATGGGAACAGGGACTGTCTCTGACATGAACTGATTGGCCTGCTCTTTGATCACCTCCCTCTGAGGGGGGAGCAGCTTTACCAGGCCACAGAAGATGATGACAATGTAGCCACTCCTGATGAGATCTGGTAGACTAGGATCAGAAGGAAGGAGAGGAGGACTTTCCCTATCAGTGGACTTGGGGAGGGGCATAGGTGGAGAAGGGGGAGGGAAGGTGGGATTAGGAGTGGAGGAGGGGGGTTTATGGGAAGATACAAAGTGAATAAAGTGTAATTAATAAAAATTAAAATAAAAAATGTTAATTACAAAAAAAGAATTTAACTCCTAACAAAGCTAAATACATTTTTTATGACAGTGTTCAGATTTGGGTATTTAGTGTGCTAGAATCACATTTTCCTGACTGGTTTAACATTATGATCTACAGGGGCCAGATATACAAGGAGTACATTCCTAATATAAAAGTCAAGTCAATTTTGTAAGTTATCAAAACTTTGCAGCTAAAAGAGTTACAAATTACAGTTTATTTCATATATAGTCCATGACTGTCATGTACAGAAGTTTGTGTTTCCCTTAAGTCTCTTTCACTTCCTTTTAACCCTGACATGTCATACTTTGGTCAAGTATTTTTGATCATACTTGCTATCCCTCCTGAAGATTTGCCTCTGGTCCAGATCTGGGCCCTGTCCACTGGGGCAGTAGCATGGAAACTTATGATTCATTTGTTCCTAAATCCACTGCTGTTTCTTTTCTGGAAAATGTCTGTAAATTACTTGCTAAGAAAGGTTCTAGGGAAAGCTTCAAGCTAAGAAAGCATTCTAAGCCTTTGTGTCTCTGAGGGAAAATTTTCTTTCTTCGACCTTCTCACAGACAGATAATTTGGCTGACTACTGAGGCAGCAAGAATTTACTACCAGATATAAAAGGCTTTGCCCCTTCAGCAGGTGGCATTACTAGTGCTAGGTTTAAAGTCATTTCCAAAATTTTTCTTCCTTGATGGCAAGATTTTTTTTCTCTCCAAGTTTTATTAATATTTTTTTCTGGAAATGTTGGTGAAAGGTGTACATCTGGGTCTTTTTTTTTTTTTTTACTTTGTGGGACAGTCACTGAGTCATTTATATATTTATTTAGTCATTTATTTATTTGTTCATTTTCTCACTGAGTCATTTAAATCCAAAGGTACACGCATGTCGACTCTGGAAACATTTCTTCCTTTGTAGGTTGGGTATTGCCTTCCCACTCACCCTGAGGTAGAACACAGTCTGGCTTGAATGCCAGGCCCATTATTTGGTCCTCAATTCTATTTTCCATTAAAAACCCTTTCCTTTTTGTATCCTATACTGTGTGGTGATTTATAAACCTTTCATGTTTAGTCTGGTTTTTTTTTTTTTTTTTTCAGTCTCAGGTAGCCCACGAGGGCCTCAACCTTACTATGTAGTCTGAAAGCCTTGAACCTCCTACATCTACCTCCCAAGTTGTAGGATTACAGGCAGGTGGCACTTTGCCCAGCCCATTCAGCTTTATTTAATTCTGGTTTTAACAACCAGTCTTTAAAATCTAAGAGTATCTTTATGCTCTATGTGAATTGCATTGTATTCTCTGTATTGTATTCCTGTTTATGACTGTACTATGTTCTCAAGTGCTTCTGAGAATATGAAATATTTAATTTTAGGTTCTGTTCCATTTCTTTCTAAATTCTATGTGATTCCTTTAGAGTCCCATAGTTTATCATTGTCTTTCTCTTTAAGATTGCCAATAGTTATCAAATCTTAATAATTCTTCATGTCTGAGGGCCTGGGAGTCTTTATGGGCCAGTTTCCCCACAAGCTTTCGTGTGGGTGGCAGGATGATAGCAGCCTTTTCCACAGCAGGCTTTGCATCATGGTAGGGGCACAAGAAGCTAGCACTTAATCTAGAGTCCTAAAAGTATCTACAAGGTGAGGGCTTCTTTTCTTGTCAGCTTTCCCTACCAATAAGAGGAATATAATCACTGAAGATTTCTCTACAAATAGTTTAGGGAAGGAGAGGTAAATATCAGTAACTTGAATTTCAGATAAAACTAATATCTCTTTTAAAAACGCAATTTGAAAAAAAAACAAAACAAAAAAAAAAACGCAATTTGAGCAAGTCTGGATTTTTTCATTAGAACAGATGTTGAGTATTTCACAAAGTATATAAGTACAGTATCAACCTCAGTTATTAGAACAGATGTTGAGTAGTTCACACGTATATAAGTACAGTATCAACCTCAGCTACTCAACTTTAAGAAGTGCCGGTGTGAGCAATCTCTTGTAGCAGGGCAAGACTTCAACTAATAGGACTGAGTTGCATTCAGTAGTTATTGGCCAAGGGGGTCCCATGGAAATTCTCAAACCACACAGGCTTATTTGAAGACAAGGGTTGCTCGCTGCAAACTAACAGGGGGGTCCCGTTGTGGGGGACAACACCCACACAGTTCATTGAACACAGAGAAGTCAAGCTGGGGCCTATGGAACCTTCATCCTTACGTTCTAGTCTTTTTGGTGCTGGAAGATTCTCTTCAGACCACCAAAAGAGAAATGTGAACAACACATCCACAAAACCTTTGCCCTACATTCTATCTTGTCTGAAAAATATGCCAGGGCAGTAGTGGCACACAACTTGCGCAAGTAGCCAACCAATGTCTAATTTGACTTAAGGCCTACTCAGTGAGAAAGATTCCATAGCTAACATGTCGCGGGTAACCAAGAACCTGGGACTAGATATCCCAGAGACCTAGAGTAAAATAAAACATGACAAATATAAAAAAAAAATAACAAAATGACTCCTCTCCTAATGATATTCTGCTATGCTCATAGACCAGTGCCTTATCCAGGCATCATCAGAGAGGCTTCCTTCAGCCTCAAATGGGAACAGATGTAGAAACCCACAGTCAGGCATTATGCAGAGAAGGAGTCTGAACTGGAGGTGTCCATCAAATCCCTCCACTCAGAGCTCAGGGAATCATGAGGAAGAGGAGGTAGAAAGACTGTAAAAGTCTGAGGGAATGGAGAACACCAGGGGAACGAGACCCTCTAATCAACTGAGCAAGGTGCATATGAGCTCACAAAGACTGAAGCAGAAAGCACAGGGCCTATTCGGGTCTGCA